CGCTAACAACCACAAAAACAGTGCGCTCAGCTAGAACAGGGTTCCTCACCCTTGGCAACTTTAAGATGGGTGACCTTCAACCCCCAGAATCCCCCAGCCAGTCTTGCTGGGTGGGGAATTCTGGGAGTTGAAGTCCACCCATCTTAAAGTTGCCAAGGTTGAGGAACCTTGTTCTAGCTGAGCCCACTGTTTCTGTGGTTGATAGCTATACATTTAATCCTGGATCAGATTCTGTCCTTTTCCATTCAGGAAATCCTTCACCCCTTCTAAAAGAGCTCTTTCATCCCTGCTTCTTTCACAGGGAGTGGAAGAAATATTTAATTTTTGGGAGAGGTGACCAGGGGGAGTCTGTTTGGTTTGTCTCACTTCTCATTTCTTTCACGTTCTTACGGATATACCCTTGCTTCCTCTAGCAAAGTGCTCTTTTCCTTCCTGTAGTTACATTTTCTATCCAGTAAGGAGGAGAATATGGTATTGCCATGTTTGTGCACAGGGGTCTTTTTACAGTGAACAAAAGGAAACAAAAAACCAAAGGATGCCTTATGCTACTTCCACTGGATGTAATAAAGTCAGGCAACCTCTTCTTTCTCCTGTCCTCCCCTATCTCCCCGTTGAGACTATCTAAATATATGCTCTGCATTTGTTTGGCTCTCCTGTCCCTTCCTTGCCTAAATGGGAAAAAAAGAGAGAAAAAACAGTGGACATGTTGGCTAAAGGCTATTATAGCCTGTAGAAGGGAGTAGATGCCACAGTTTTCTCCCCTCCAGTTTTAAATGGTTTTGTGCTATCCTATCTTTGTTGGGCAAGGATAAGCAAGTTTTGCCTGTGCTTTTCTAGCTTGATTGTTGTTGTGGTGCCTTCAAGTCAGTTAGGACTCCTGGCAACTGCCTGGACAAGCCCCTGCAGTTTTCTTGGCAAGGTTTTTCAGAAGTGCCTAGGAAGCCTCCTCCCTAGGGCTGAGAGAGAGTGACTGGCCCGAGGTCACCCAGCTGGCTTCATGCCTCAGGCAGGACTAGAAGTCATGGTCTTCCCAGTTTCTAATCTGATGCCTTAACCACTACAGGTGGTCCTCAACTTACGACCACAATAGGGACTGGAAAATTCATCATTCTTCAGTGTAGCTGTTAAGTGAATCATGTGACCACACCCAATTTTACAACGTGTTTTGGTGGTTGTTAAGCAAATCACATGGTCGTTAAGTGAATCATGCAGTGTCCCACTGATTTTGCTTGTCAGAAACTGGCTGAGAAGGTCACAAATGGCGATCATGTGACTCCAGGACATTGCAACTGTCACAAATACATGCCGGTTGCCAAGCACCTGAATTTTGATCACTTGGCTGCAGGGACGCTGCAATGGTCATAAGTGGGGCCAGGTTACCTGAGGGACTGCCTCTCCCCCACGGTTTCAACCCATCCCACCCAATCACACAGAGAGGGCATGCTCTGGACCCCCTTGGCAAAAGAACTCTGATTAGTGGGGTCCAGAAGGCGGT